ACATGATCAGTATTACATCACTTTCGGTATAGAATTTTAGGTACTTTGTCTCTCTAATCGAATTCACAGGACCGAGTTATTGGAGGTCAAGCTCGACCTCAGAATCAATCTTGCGGGTTCTTCGCGTTTAACGAATTAACCGTCGTAAAAGCGAGTAGGTATACCTAATCAATGGACTGAGTATAAATTCCATTTGTTATTAAATTCAGTGACAAATTATACTTTGCCAAGGCCATTAAATTTTAATTAAGTTATACAACGATAGTTACTAGGGTATTTTGTTATTTTTTAATAATAAATTACTTTTTTCAATGCATCCGACGTTTTTATTTAAATATTTAATTTTATGTAGTGTACTCTCACTACCACTTTATTATTTACTCATCTGCCTGCCTCTTCCTTAAATCGACGTTACAGTTTGAATATTTGGTAAAAATAATTAATAATTGAAAAATATTCACATAAATTAGCTCTATTTACACTGACTATTTCTGATTTTCAAGTATCTACAATAACACGAAAACAGAGATGTAAGCTTTTGCATTTTGAGCTTAGTAAAATGTAAAACAAAATTGGTATAAATTAAATTATATTGTAATAACAGCTTTATGGCTATTTAATGCAGCGATAATTTTTAAAAAGCCATACTTATTTGAGTAATTCATGTAAAAATTCTACAATTTAGTTTTTAAAATTATCTAAATTAAATACCTATCTTTAAATAATTTTTCATTAATTATATAATTATCTAACTCATCTTAAGATATTTCATTCTATAGGAAATCAAAAATAATCAATTTTCTAAAATAATTTTTGGCCCATAATGTAAATAAATAACATATTATTCTTTATAATTGGATGGTTTTTATTTTTTGTGTTATTGTTATAAAATATTCAATTTTAAAATTTATTTAATTGGATCTAAGAATACAACAAGCAATTGTTAACCTTAACGTTTTGTATACAAAAAAAAAAAAAAAAAAAAATGTTAAACACTCCTATGGATTTGTTCTTGGTGAGTATAATTTTTTTATGGATAATATGCATTACATAATATGTTTGATAATATTAAAAATTATTAATTAAAGTAATAATATTGTTTAAAAATACATAAATAATCAAAAATACAGCAAATTATGAATTCATTTTAACATTACGAGAAGTTTAATTAGATCAAAGTATCATTTATTTTAAAATACCTATTTATTAATATTTATAAATTTATTTCGGTGTCTGCTAAAATTGACATGACGTTTCTGACCTATCTCTTAATGCATGCAATAATAATATTATTATGGTTTTGTTTGACTTTTTCTCTGCGCATATTCAATTAATTATCAGTGGTGCTCTTGAGTTTTTTCAAATTTTAGAAAGGTCAATTTTTATTCATCGTTAGGCCACGTTTCCTTTTTTGTAGTAAATATTATATTGCTTTAATATATTATTATTCTTAGGTATAAATAAATAACTAAATATATTATTATAGATAAATTGTATATTTATTATTTATAGATATTGTGTATTATATTATATTAGTATGCATACCAAAAGATATTTTCAATTTCAACTTTGCATTTACTTAAATTCATTAGAATATTAAATATATTATAACCCGTTGACACCATGTATGGGGATACACAGAATACATGTATTAAAAGTAAAATTAGATTTTATCCAATCCTCTTGATAGTATTGTATTTAAATATTTTAATTACTTATGAATTTGCGGCGCGCTTATAAATTGTATAGCATGATAATAAATACAGAAAAAAATAATGGCACTCAAGTAAACCTTGCCATCCACCAATAATTAAAATCCACAGTTTACACGTTTTTATACTTGACTTGTATCAATGTTTAAGTTTGATATAGTTCGATAAATATCGCTGAAATATCGCTCGTTTAAAGTCTTAAATGCTGGGGCTTGTGTATTCAAATAAATTATCTTAAAACCTGAATTAAAAAAATAAGACGACTGTAAATATTGTTAAATTAAAAAAAAAGTCTGAAATGTCAGCATAGTTAGATTATTTCCATCAAGTAATTTCATTTTATTCAGATATTAGTAGTATTCTTTGCAATGTAATTTAGATATTATCATAGTATAATACAGCACGATAATTGTTGAATTGTTTGATGTTAAATATTTGTGTCATACATTATCGTTGAAAAGTATAAATTTACATTGATAATTAAAATTAAATTACTTATATATGGTGTGCTTTCAATAAGAAAAATTTTTATAAGAGTATTTTTTTTCAATATTGAGTTCTCTACTGTACTTTATTTATGTAAAAAATGACTATCCAAAAAATTAAATTTTATAACATCTCACTTTCTATAACTTTAAATTGATTGAAATTCCAAGAGTTATTTCATTTTATATTTTTATTTATTACATTGTGCATTGTGTTAACACTTAATCTTAACTTACAATAAGTATGTACATATATAAACTACAATTGATTTATTAAATTAGATTAAATTATAAAGGATAATATGGATTTGGAATTGTCCAGCATCTGATGTACTGTTAGAATCTATATATATAACGTTCAGTTAGATAAACCCGCTTCTTGTCTTTCCGTTTCGAATGGAAGCATTCTCCAGTTACTATGGGTTTGATTACGAGAGGTATTTCATAACTGACATATAGGGGGCTCTGCATCAGAAACTAGCGGGTTATCGAATTATTTCCAATTAAAATTCATTCGATTGAGGTTTCTATTTTTCTTGAGATATCCGGTGTCGAGGGCTATAAGTGAATAGTGTTTTTAATTTAATTTAATTTAGATGATTTTTGTGACCTTAACCATGGCAATATATTGTTCGAAATTATTTTAATTATAGACTTAGCATATTAAAGTTTGTATTTACTTTAAAATTCCAACAATTCATAAAAAAGAACGTAAAGTTTTTTTCGTTTTCCTGTAGAAACTTTTATTATTCTCAGAAAACCATATAATAATTTTAAAGTGTATACATACTCGTAAATGCATTTTGTACAGTTTATTTTTAAAAATTCTAAAAAATAACATTTTGTTTACTTTTTACTTTTTATCAACTCTTTCTTTCTCTTTATATTATATTTTATATACATAAAATATAAATTTATCTCAGTTTTAATGTACTTATCAGTAATTTACGGCCAATTGGCATCGATGTATCTTTCTTTGTGAACTATGAGTAGTTCAATTTGGACAATCTGACAGTGGTGTATTGGTTATCATATCCATAGTAGGTACTTGGTATATTTTCAAACGTAGTTAAATCTGCTCTCTTCGTTTTCCTGATATTTGTAAAAACAATCTAAGAAATGTTCTTTAAAATCGGTAGAATATTTTTCAAGTATATTTATAATCTACAAATATACATTATTTTTATAAATTATATAGGTGGATTATAGTTGTATCTGATTTTACTTGGGTTAAAATTTATCTATCTTTCTATCGTTTTTAATTTAGCTTCTGTTGAAATATTTATCAATACAAATACGATTACAATGACTAATTTTCTAATTTTACACTTCTTGATTCTGAAATTATTTATGTAAGTACAAAAACTTGGAGGAAGATTCAAACAAATGATTAAAAACCGACTTAAGTCCAATATCTTTAAAATTGGTATTTGTCTTAATGTATTTACATAAAAAATTCTAAGATAATTAAATAAGCATATCATAAAAGTAACAAAAGTTTTTTATTTTAATACATTTGTTAAAGTTTTTATATTCCATAAATTTACAAATTATAATACTAATATAATCTGTTACGAATAAAAATTAATAAAATGAAGAAAAAGTTTTAGATTTTTGTGAATTGAAAATAAACCCATCTTGTAAGCTACACTATAACGATTTATATATGCTGAAAATGAGTTATAAATACTCTATAAATATCAAGGAATCTAATGAAATAATTTTTATTAAAAACTAAGAAACATTAATTTAAATAGTTTTTTTTTTTTTATTTGGCATGTATACGAATTGACTCGCAAACTACGAGACGTTGAACCTCATTACAGTAGTATGATAATTAAGGCTGTGCATTTGTATAAAAGTGCATTTTTTTATTTTTTTGGTGGTTATGAAACGTAGCTGTCCATAATTTGAATTATGTAACAACGAATCCATTTATGAAATTAATTTTGCATTTTTTGATGTTTTTAATTTTTTAGGCCATTTTTTGCATTTTTAGATCATATTTTCCTCTTTTAGTTCATTTCCAGTATTTTTAATTAAATTCCGTCAATTAACATCTTTGAAAATCTAATTATTAAAAAAATAAATAAATAAAAAAAAAAATTTAAAAATGTTCTAGTGGAATTCAATAAAAATTTTCAGTAACTTTTTTTTTTTACTAAATAAACACATTTTTATGCATGAGAAATGTAATGTACTAACTAATAAATGTATAATATCAATATAAGTATAAAAATTAAATGAATAATTATCCTAAGTGTATTTTATACTATAATTTTTGGCCTTTTATTTGAATTTTTTGCATTTTAAGTGCAAATTTTATTGCATTTTTTTGAAATTTTTAAAAAAAATTTAAGGTTTTTAAGTACATCAAATCATTAAATTCACAGCAATAATAATATATAGAATATAAAAAAGAAATCTGGTGTATTTTGTTATAGCGCCTGTGTGAATCGTGATTGTAAATTATAATATCATCAGGTAATAGCTTGTGGAAATTTTGCGTTCCCTTTGGTGACACTGTTTGGCATTTTGAGTTTTAAATTAAAATTTAATCATTTCAAAGGTAAATATTATGTAGAAATTTCCCTAAGCATGAATACATTAAAATAATAGATATCGGCGTATTTTTGTTATTATTACTTTAAACACAATGCATGGTATTCGTTAACATTAAATAACGTAAAACGTCCAATAAAATATTTCTATTGTATTTTCAATCAACACTGCGAAAAGTAAATTGTAATAGACGTCGTGTCCGTGCGATTCACATTAGAAGAAACATTTTGTGTTTTGCATTTTAATTAAGGAAACCTTGTGTTTAACACAATAGATTGTTGTCGTATTATGATATACCTTTCATTGCGCCGAATGTTATTTTTACTATCAGAGTTTCATAACCATTTTTACACTACGTTTGGACGGTAATTTCTTGTTCATTTAAGTATTAGTCGACAAACCGTCATTTTGTACAATACATTTCGAATAAAACGTATTTATTTTATTAAATCGTGTTTATTGTTCATCGCACAGAAGGTAAGATACCATAATTATTATTACTTAATATAGACGTAGATACACGACTGTAATAATTCTATCAGAGTGTATTGCACCAATATATGTAAAAGTATTTTAGTCTTAATTATGCAAGTACCTACTACAAAATTGTACATTATTCAGAAATAGCCAATAGGTTTATCGTATATAGTAAATTAATGGTGATAAAATATAGACATTTTAGCAATAAGTTCAGGCTTTCAGACTTCAGATGTAGATTTATAGTTGGCTTAATTGACTAACGAAATCGCAGATATATTGTAGAGAAATATTTCTTAAATAGAATATTCAGATGATATATTTGATAAAACTGTAAAAGTAAGCTTGTTAATGAAAATAATTAACTTAATTCGAGTGAACACAATATCATTAAGTTAGAAATTAATAGTTAGTAAATAATGAACTTGACTCACTATAAGTTTAGAATTAATATAAAAAAATACATCAACTAACTCATATTAAAAAAAGTAAATTTACTTTTTTTTAATAGTTATTACCTAAACCCCATTGATAAATTCTAGTACTATTACTAGTATTATATTATTGGATTATTTTTGTTAAAAACAATGTATACAATAGTTAATATATAAAACCAAAAGTTTAAAAAATGTTTTTAATTGATATGAATTATTTTCAAATTTACTGAATATCTTTTAATAGACAATTAAACTAAAAGTATTCTCAAATTAATAAAAAAAATTAACTTACAAGTTAAATTAAATAGTTAAAAAAATTTTATTAATTATTATTAAAATTGTTTTTAAGTTTTAACTAGGTATCTGATGTTCTATCTTTGGATAAATGTAATAGATATGGTATTTTAAATGTCAAAAATTTATTCAATGTTATTTGCATGGTTAATACTTAATAATATTATGCTTATTACAGTGTGCAGTCAATTATTGTTCACTTTTCAACGCATTCTATGTATACTATACAAAGGTCATTATCATGATAATACATAAACTATATCGAACAATTTTGTATTTGTTAATTTTAATAATATGCAACTGCTACCTATTCAATTTACAAGACGAAATAGGAATTTTTAAATAACGATTAATAATCCATTATACCTATGATACGGAATTTCTTAAAATATTTATGTACAATATTACACGCGTTAATTAAGAAATTAATAATAATACTAAATTATAATATTAGAAATCATTAGAAAAAACTGTAATACTTATAATAACGATTATTTAAATTTTTCAGAAAATGAGTATAAAGGAATTCTTTAAAGGGCGTAATGTCTTGGTAACCGGTGCAACCGGATTTATGGGCAAAGTTTTAATTGAGAAACTAGTTCGGTCCTGTCCAGATATCGGTAAAATTTGTTTGTTGATACGACATAAAAAAGGAAAAGATTCAGATTCCAGAATCAAAGAAATTTTGGACGTTAAAGTATATTTAAATTTACATATTTTAATGTATATTATTGTTATTATGTGTATAAAATTAACGCTTTAATGTATATAATATTATATACAGAATAGCTTTTTAATTTACTTTGATCAAAAAAAAAAAAAAAAAAATTACAATGGTATCATGACATATCAAAGTATTGAAATTCGTTTTATTTAATATTAATTTTATCATGATAGTAAGATTTTTACACACCTAGGTAAATATTATTATTGAAAAAAAACATTTAGTTTAGAATAACTGTTTTAAAATTATGACTCATTTCATTACGAAATTAAATTCCCTTATTACTCCACTAATCTCGCTCTTATCTAATCTCCTAAATACAATTCTTTCCAAAAATACTTCACCTCCTTAATTATATCTGGCCATTTTATATACATTTAATTATTTAATTGGTTTATATCAGTACTCTTATCTACAATTGTATCTGTTTCTCTTTTATTGTTTTACTATTTTCAACTAATATTTGTATACTTTGTAACTGTCGAACCTAATAGTATAACTAAGGTTTCAATAAAAAAAAAAAAAAAAAAAAAATTATGAAAATAAGCTATTTAGATAGATCCATATCTTATTTAATTTCTATAGTTGAACTAGCGATAAGAAATAATTCTTAAATAAATTATTCTGAATTACGTCATCATATTGTAAGTATAAATACACAAAAAAAAATTACTATCGTTTAATGCGAAAAATATCCATGGAATAGTTGCATTATACTTTATTTGATTTATTAAACTTATTATCAATCTTTAACTTATTTATAAAATCTAAATACAAATATTAATAAACAATATGTTATAATCATTATTTTGGTTTTATAAAGCAATAACTGTTCTCGTATACACATGCAGTCTTTTGAGGAGTTTACTCGTTAGGACGTATAATATTGCCTAAATTTCAATGTCATCACAAACAGAGTGATTTCAATGTAAATTATTCACTTTGTTCGCAGCTATTCGATACAATTAAAGAACAAAAGCCTGGTTTGATGGAGGAAAAACTGTTCCCCGTACTAGGTGACATGACCGAACTACGACTTGGGTTATCGGACGAGGATTACAATTTTTTGGTAGAAAATGTTTCGATCGTGTTCCACGTTGCTGCCAGTGTCCGTTTTGATGAGCCGATACGTGATGCAACGATCATGAATGTGAGGGGAACACGTGAAGTTGTGCAATTGGCTAAACAAATGAAACATTTAAAAGTGAGTGTGAGGCATATATAAGGTACCTCCTTAAAGATATCTTAAAATTAACTCAATGCTTGTGGTATGCGTTTTGAAATTATGATAATCGTAATGTTTATATTACAATAATGAAATGCGCTTATTATATGGTACAACGTTAATTAATATCGAAAATATGTTGTATTTAATTGAACTAAATTCAAACTGCCATCAATCGTTTTATTGAATTTTTGAAACCCAAATAAAAATTAGAGTCATCATCTTAATTATTCGATAATATTTGAACCGTTCAAAAAATTACAGTAGTGATTTTCAACTTTGTTACGTATATTATGTATATAAATGTACCATTGGAAGATTTAATATTTTTATTATTGTCGGAAAACACTGCTTTTAATATTTAGTAATAAAATAACAACAATCAGGACTTGAAATCAAATTTTTCGAGTTTAATTTGAATTTTTTTAATTGCAACTATTTTTTTTTTTTTTATTATTTATATTTAAAAACTGATTTTACATTTTTATGATTTTTACATTGTTGCATGATAACTACAGTAAAAGCCGCTTATTAGAAACACTTTGGGACCAAGGTGAATTGTGTCAATTAACCGATTGTTTCTAATAAGCGATTGAAAAAAAAAAAAATGAATAATAGGTACGCGAAAAAAATATGTATGTATGTATGTACCTATATTGTATAATTTAAAAAAGTATGCACAATTGTGTATATTTTACGATATTATGTAAAATATTTATCATTCGTAATTTGTTTTTTTTACGTCGAGTAACTCCATGACCATATTTTCATACGAGTAATATTGCCCCTTTAGCTTTGTCACTTATTTTGAGTGCGTATGTGTGTTCAGGTAGAGCTCCAAAATAAAGCCCAGTCTCGTCCGCATTGAAAATATCAGAGCGTGTGTATTGGGCTAGCAAATCGGTCAAATGAGTTTCAAACCACGAATGGTCGCATGAAAATTGGCTAAAATCTTAGCGTTTAGACATTTTTAGATTTTTAGAAAAAGGAAACACTAATAATCTTTACATACGCACGCTGAAGCTAAACTACAAACGGTACGACCAGTACGTACAGAAAGAGCATTCTCGCGATAAATTACAGTAAAAATAAACGTAACGACAGCAAAGATAAAATTGAAGTACATTGGTTATCGCTAGATAATCGGTGTATATGTCAACTGACCTTCTCCCAATTGTTTCAAATAACCGATGTGATGTTTCAATAATCCGATTTATTTTCAATGTTCTAATATACGGCCGATCCGTCCCGAGACATTTTGTTTCAATAACACGATTGTATCAATTATCCGTGTTTCTAATAAGCGGCTTCTACTGTATTTAATTATTTCCTAGTTTTTAATTAGATTTTAAATTATACGTTTTCAATTTAAAACATCATATTAAATTTACATTTTGTACGATTTTCATTTTCATTTCGCTATTGTCGTTCGTATATTTCATACATGACGTTATACGTGATTGCAGTTGAACGGTCCAAGAGGTCAAGAAAACTAAATATTAGTTATTCATAATATACACTATACATTGGTAGGTAATAAATAATAACGTATTATACAAAAACCCGTTGATATTATTAAATTTTAAATTTTGAATATTTTTGTTCATATAATTTTAAATTGGTTTGTATGTAAAAATTATAAAACGTTTATTATTTCGAAAAAACGTTTTGATTTTAAAAGTTCTAACGAGTTTCATCGATATTTAAAATTTATTTCAAGCCCTGTATAAAGCAAAAGATATATAATGGCTGCAAGTGAAAGAATTCAATAAATAGGTATCCTAATTACTACTAGATTGACAATAGTATATACACACTCTAGTCTACTACTCGTTCTGCACAGGTAACCTAATATAGCTTATCTGCAAATAATCGGGTTCAGAAACATCTACATGTTTTATATGAAAAGAAAACCTCAAATCAAACACGTGTAGCATTATAATAATAAGCTGCCCTAAGTAAGTATTCTATATACCAGCTGAAACACATAAAATCATGAACAATCTATCTTCACTACGATAAACACGCGCGCTGAAGAAAACACCGAAACAATCTGCACATACTTTTCTCATAAAGCTAACTTAAGCTATAAATTGTAGTGAAAAATGCACAATAGATTTAAGATGCTATATAATTTGTATATATGTTTGAACACATTTTTCTCACGGTCATTAACATTGAAGCCTTAAAAAACATTGACAATAAATGAACAATAGTATTCAATATAATATAGAGATCACGTATTGACGTCTGACACGATAATATATTTTTTTTTAGGTATTGTTGCATGTGTCGACTGCGTATTGTAACTGTATAAGAGAACATGTCGAGGAAAAAGTCTACGAATCACCAATTGGTTGGCGAGAAGCAATCTCTATCGTTGAAAATCTAGATCCAACTATGAGCAGTATTTTAACAAAAAAGTAAAAGCCGATGTACAACTTAATAATACCGCTTTCTATATTAGTGCCAATTTAAATAGTATTAAAATTACTTTTACGAACACAAATATTATCATGTAATTTTCGACAAAAGCGACAACTAATTGTTGTAATTGTTATATCGTCTTTTTTTTAAATCTTACAACAATAAAATATTTGTCTATTTAACGAAATAGTTTTTCAGAGATAATTCATAATTAAAATTAAAATTTTTAACTGTGGCTTTCAAATAAAAAAATTTCAATACTTCATAATATTAAAATAGTACAAAGTAAAATTAATAATATATATTGAAAACCTAACGCGTAAGGTACACAACCGAGTAAACCTGCACAAGATAACAATAGAATATTAATGCAGATTTGCAATTTCCATGTAAAATATTATTATATATAATGAATTTATTTAATTAATTTCTGCAAAACTAAATAAATACTCAAATATACAATTATTTACCATTTAAAATTTTGAACTATAACAACTATTGTTATGAGTCTCGCATAGTACAAAATAAGTAGATTAAAATCACGAAAACAAAACAAAAATAAAGTACCTACCAATACTATTGTATTTATTTTTGAAAATGTATAATTCTATTAACCGTACTTGCCCATAAAAATGCACTGCGCGTTGTAATTTTGTAACATGAAAACAAAATATGAACTGTATGTTGTTCGTTAAAATAGTTACGCAATAAATTTTAATAAAACTTTTTTTTAAGCTAAACAATATGAATATATAAATATAGTGAGTATTCTATTTTTCTAAAAAGCGTATTCGTTTTACAATAATTTTAATTCCAATAACTTAATCAATAGGTACACCTTAACTTGATATTAAAGTGTAAGAAAATAATTAATGGTAGATTAATTAGCATTATCGATTATTAAAATAATAATTTAATTTGATTAAAAGGGTAGTAAAAAATTTACAGGTTTATGCATTGTGATTTCAAATCACCAAACATTAGCAATCTCCAAAAAATTAATCATTGCATTTGTGTTTAATTTGATCAAATTTTTGAAATTGATATACAATTGCGGTTACACACAACATGAAAACTATCTCTTTCGTAATGTCCTCTGAATAATAGTTAATAATCCTCAAAAACATTATAAGGTAAAATTACTAGTTACTAATTAGATATGATAGGATTAGGAAATGTATTTTTTAATTCAAAATCTATTCACAACAGACCTTTTAAACAGTTTTTTTTCATGTTTTGAAACTAATGTTTAATAAAGGTAAAAGTTTTTACCTTTACAAACCAAAAATTATATTGAAACAAAAACGAAAATCAGTAATAATTATCACCAATAACTTAAACCAAAATCGAAATCGAAAAAAATAAATATTTTTGGCTTTACGCCCTAGTTTTTTTTTTATTCGGGCCGAGTTAACAATTTGTTAAATAAAAAATTACTCACATTTTTAGCGCAATATGGGTAAACTGTTGTGAATAGCAACATAAATCGGTGAGCTTTTACTATAATGTCAGTCAAGAGGCAAACTAATGTACTTAAGTGTAACAACGGTAATTTAAATCAACAATGACATTGTATTCCAAAACATAACATGCATTATATTACCAAAATGTCTATAAATTATTATCTTATTCGCGTGTGTTATTTTGATAAAAGTTTTTAGGATCGTTTCCAAATACATACACGCTAACGAAATTACTCGCTGAACAAATAATTAACGAAGAACGGAATAACATACCGGTAGTAATATTCAGACCATCAATTGGTGAGTATTTTTAAAATATATATAATTTTATTTGGCTTGTTTGAGACTTTGATTGTATATGCGGGTGTAATAAAATTTTTAAACTCAAAAAAAAAATATATGTATTAATGATAAAACTATAGATTAGATATCTATATAAAAATTTATCGTTTTTAGTCAGAAATAATTATCTATCGTTCTTTATATTATATAGCTACCAAAATAGCACGTATTATTTACACGAAATACCTTAAATTATCTTACCTTATTCTTCATCAATACGTTATGCAGATAGTTCTAAGTAGTATTACAATATCTTTATATTTTCTTTATTCTTCGTGATCAGTTTTGCAGTATTCGAAAATAAATTAAAATAAATATTCTAGTCATGTTTATATAAAAAACGTGTACAGCTCAAGTATTTATACTGCTTAAAATTAATTTTGATAGAAATTATCATTTTAAAAGCATCTTGAATCCTTAAGTATTTCAATATTATCTTAGAACATATTCGTGCACAAAACGTATAAAATGGATATCAAATGCTTGTATAAAGCATATGGAATATAAACGTGAGCTTTTTTTATGCTAATCCGGTATGCGGTTTACAGACAAGTTTCTGAGTCGATATTTGCTCTACTTACGTCGTTTTGATTGCGTTTTATTTAATTAGTGGTTCACGATCTGATCACAACCATCAAAATTAATTAATAATACACAATATAGAAATATAAATATTATACTCGTACCGAACAGCTTCCGTGAGTGTTATGTAACTGAAAATCGAAAAGACAACTGTAATATAACTTACAGTACTTCATAAAATTCAAGGTATAGATAATTAGAGATGACCATAGATCAGATAATAAAATCGAAATAAATACTCAGCATGTTATATATCATTAAAACGATGAAGATAAATTATTTACAGTCGTTGTCCAATATCCCTGTATCTAACGTAAACTGAGTGTAGAACGGCAAAACCTGTAGAACACATATAGAATTAGCACTGTTTTTTTACGACCGAAGAAATAATAAAGAAAAGTTTAGTAGGTATTTTATCAGTCGAAATTTAATACTTAACAAACGTTTTTTATATTTTTACAAGTAATTGACAATAATGAGCAAGTTGATTGTTTTTTTTTTTTTATTCGTCGAGTTAATATTGAAAAAAGTATAGTTTAAAATTTCAAGTTACTTTTATTTTGTTACCCTTAAAAGCTATAATTTAATTAGTTTTTAATCAGTTATATTTTTTTTTTCAAACAAAATTCTTACAATAGATGATATTCTAAAGTACAATAGACAAATTTCAAAAGGAGCTAACCACAACCTATATCCATTTAGATAGACAATATCAAAATTATGTGATAAAAATGATATACAAGAAAAATCGACGAGAAAAAATAATAGAAGTGACAACCATTTAGTAATAGAAATGATAGAACCTAACTATAAAGCAGAAGTTATTTATTATTTATAAGAGTGTCTAACAGAGTTATCTGGTATTTGCAACTAATGTGTTTTGGTAAAATTGTAATTTTCTATGGACAATCATACACGTTGTTTTTATCCCAATTAAAGTCCATAAATAGTTAATTCAACAATCCAATAATCTTCAATTAAGTATTTATATTCATATTTCTATATTATAAAGTAATAAATAATAGTTTCGATTATTTTTTTAGTATTATTTATAAAGGATTATACGAAACAACATTTTATGCATTGTTTTAAATCTATGGAGCTTGTATTGTTCAAAAATGAACTGAACGTTATTAAAAATATTATTAATTTCTTAATAATTGCGTGTCACTGTAAAAAATTTAACTTGTTAAATTTGAATTTATTTTTTAATAACAAAGTAACTTTAAGTTATGTAACTTATAAAATATTACTTAACTTTAACTTTTAACTCGTCAATTTCCAATTCTTGGTACTAAATTTAATACCTATTAATGACAATGATGCTTGTTATGTAACTGGTACCAGCATTCCAAGTCACATACCATAATATTTTCTTTTCACATCAGTAAGTTCTTATAGATTTTCTGGAGTGATAACTTAGGTATATAGAATCTAACCGTTGACTTCTCACTGAATCATGGCAATACGAGTATGTCAATAATAATTAAATCTTCCTTGATTCTTCTATTTCAATTTCAATTGATTTTGAAATTCTCACCATTGTGTCGATTTGGTCACAAATTATTAAAATTTTGGCAGGCAGTATGCTAGTTTTCAGTATCACGGTATACATTTCTTTCTAATTGTATTGCTTCTTTTTTTTTTTTTTTAGTTTTTCTATACAAATTGTGTTTAAAATTTACAACTACACCTACATATTAAAATAGTGGCGTATTTATGAGGGTGATATGGGGATATATCCCCTCTTTTGCACTTTTTTTTTTAAAAAGACCCGTTATAACTGTATAATTGTTACTTGCAACTTTGTTATTCTATGAGCTGTGAGTGAAATTACCATTGATTAAATATACATATTTATAAATGTATATTTGATCAATGGAAATTTATTTTATAAATAAATAAAACGTGTAATAAGAGTATATTTTATTATGTTCATTTATCACTATAATAAAATTCTTTACACAGAGTAACTGAAGTTAAAAAGTTGCAATAGATACACCCAATTTTATTTTATGATGAAAAACTATTTTTGGCTGGGATACCAGACACCAGCACTAAAATATTATACACAATTTTTTCAGGACTACTATTAACTCAAAAATCCTATATACACCCCTGTAGTAGTTTACGAGTATATAATGATAGCCAAATTTAAATTTGATCCATAATAAAAGGCAAAACTTTATTCCGTAAAATGTATATTTTTATTAAAGTATAATAATATTTTATAATCCGAGATTTTGTCCACTCTTTTGTGAACGATTTAATAACTAATAAGGTGTCACTGTTGCCTATAAATAGTTAAAATTCAAAAATGATAATATGAATAAATATTTCAAATATTTTATTTATGTCTTAACGTTCATATTTTTTACACTCAGAATTAATTGAGCCATTTATTTGAATTTCATTCCACCGGCTTTAACCCAAATGAAATCGATATCATTTTAATATGGAAGGCCATACTAGTAAAATACATATCTCAAGCCATCTTTTATTTTAGAATGCGTTTCGGATATTAAAAAAAAAGAAAGAAAAATCCGGAACGTATTAAGTATTATACTTTTTTTTAACTTATTTATTTTTAGAACGAAACTAGTGATAGTTTCCTCTGGCAATATTTTTAGATTACGAAAAAACAGGCATGGAGAAATATATTTTTAGTGAAGTATTTGTAATATAAGTACCAGTGCCGTTTATTATAATGAATACAAAAAGAAATCACTTCATACGAGAAGTGAATTTAAATACTATCCTAACCAAACATAGACAGTGTATACGGCAAATACATTATGTAAATTTACAAAAGCCAGCTAGAATGAATTTCAGAAAATATTTTTCAAACTCCTTATAAAGTAAATTAGGTTTTATAAATCGATCGAATTAAAATCGTATAACATATAACCTTTGTCTGATTATTTACCAGAGGTCGAATTTATAATATATTTGCATTGTTGTGTAATTTGACATACATGTTCAAATTAGAGAATTATCTACTAAAAAACATTGGTTTAGTTTTAAGATCAGACTTGTTACATTTGTAACTGTATCCGGTAATAAAAAAAAATAAAATATATATAGTCAAATCAAACATAATAGTTAATAATGTACTATATATAGTATATTTGTAATAATATGCATAATATAACTGTTAATAATTTCTTGTCACTTTTTTTTTTAAATACATTTTTTTAGGAAAATTGTAACCTGAATCTCTCCATATGAACCTGAATGTTATACTGTATACATTATACAAGTATAATAAACGTTAAGATAGATTAAATAAATATTTTTTGTTGCCTATGACATATAAAATATTTTTACGAATAATCGTCTAGATTTTTTTTTTTTTTATGTTCTTGGCAGAGTTATGAATGCATTTTACAATGATTTCGTGTGTATTTTTTTGTGTTTGTTATCACCTTTTTCTGCAGTAAAAATATTTCATTTTTTAACTTCGATGTCTTTATCAATGTAAATCTAGTTGGTACTATGATAATTCAAAGTAAAAATGTACTGTTATTTTATAATAATCATGAAAAAATTATAATTACTTACTTATACGGTGCTGTATCATAAAGATTAAATTTTACCTATAATGTGAATGTATTGTTACTGTATTTTATAGTTCATAAAACATAAAGATTTGAATTACAGGTTTAAAACAAATCTTCCTCTTAAAATAATTTTATTATTTCCTGAATTGAATAAGGAAAATAAAAATAGGATAATAAAGGTAACCGCATTGTTTTAAATTAGGTGTCAAGTGAACTTTTTTATTGAATAAGTAACTGTAATATAATATACAGGTATATTATTAGAATTCAATGATAAATCATATTGTATATCTATGATGAAAAGACAATTAATATTTTATATTACTAATTAGTTTTTATTATTTATTTGTACTACTATCATAGTAATTTATTTACTATTAGTAATACGTTCGATTGAATTTATTTTTGCCGAAAACAGTATAAACTTAACATAATAACTTAACATAATTTATAATTTTTACTAAATTTTTGTAACAATATAAATTACCGTAGAATGACATGAGTAGGTTTATAATATAAATAGCCAATAGCTTAAAATTAATCTAAATATTTTGAAAATGTCAATTATAGTAAAATATAATAATATATTAAATTTATGTAAAATTTTCAAGTCCTCGTAAATTATATTTATGAATTGCAACAAAAAACAAAATAATTTTGCTAAAAATTAATTTTACGTAAAAATTCTCGTTTTTCTTTATTTTTTTCCAAATTCTAAAAAGATATTATGTTTTTATGACTCTCCTCTCACATCAATATACCAACTAGATCCAATTTTTTATAAAAGAAATTATGTTGAAGTAGGAATTAAAGCATTTTTACTACTTCTAAAAATAAAGAGAGACACGAAGAGAAAAAAAAATTATACTATATCACTATAAAATCAAAACAATCATTGCTTTTGCTCAGAATCCAAAATTATAGAAAATAGAATTATTTACAAAAAACCAGTTTTTGACAAAATAAATTTTGTTATTTTGTTCTACGAATAAAAACGAATTACTGGAGGTACCTACTCCAAATGGATACTTTAACATTTTTCTGTACAGTGGAATACTTTTTTGACTGTCTTAGATTTTTTTAAACGTTAATTAAATTATTAAATATTGTAGACACGCAAATTTTTCTTTAAGAAAAGTTTTGTTAAAAGTTTTGAAAATGTAATGCAAAGTTTCTTAAAAATATTAAATAGTTTATACTGAAATTAAAAAAAAAAAAAGTAAGTATAAATCTAAAACAATTTTTATACTAAGGGAAATTATTTTCTTATTAAAAATGTACAAAACTATATTATAAAGGCTTGACAATTCAATTCATAAGTTCAAAAAAAAAGAATGTGACATTATGTATTATTTTTTGCCAAGCATAGCTTTAAATTTTTCTAAGTAATATTTATGATTTTGTGTAAATGTGTATGATGTAGACAGTTTATTAAATAATAAATAACATCGTTTATTTATAACAAACTAATAATTAAATATAACATTTAGCTTCTACGATATAGTATTGATATTTAAAATAATTATTACAGAATTAATTCTTTATTTGTCAATCTATACTCTATAGTATCATATTGGCATCTAATATGCAATTTTTTTTTATTTATTACAGTCATATCATCATTAAATGACCCTGTCAAAGGATGGATTGATAATTTCAATGGACCAATAGGACTTATGATGGCATGTGGTAAAGGAATCGTACGAATAACATACGGCGAAAAATCGATAATTCCCGATTACATGGCCGTTGATGTGTCTATAAAATCAATGATCGTAGCTGCTTGGCACAAATCAAAATCAAAGTACAAATAATTCAACAGAATATTGTTTGTCATTATAATTGTAGAATACCGTGAATTACAAATCAACCTTTAGCGAATCGTGGGCTTAGTCTGTAATTTAGAATAATTTACTAGTCCAATGTGCTCGGAACCCTGATCTGTTTGGTTTGTTAAATATTTAAATCTTATTCACCCAATCCACTACCGCAACAGCAATAGTTCAACTAGTTTAGAAGAAAATAGGATAGAACTTAGTTAAATTGTGGTAATAGTTCTCCGAATTCAGAATTAGCCACCTCTTAATGTATACATTATTATGTTATTGTCTTAAACCTCTGCGATACCGCATTTAATTTATTTGGAGCTATTATGGAAACCATTTCAGTTAAAACAAATTGCTTGATAAATAATATAGCAATAATATATTCTCATTGTTTTATTATGCCACAACGTAATTTCTAAACATAAAATAACTAATAATGTTCATATAGGTGCGATATAATCTCGAATTATTTTATATTTTTCAGTTCGTTAGGGGAGGATAATCTTGTCCCTGTTTACAACAGTGCATCTGTATCAAAATCTGTATCGAACGAAGAACTATTACATTTAGGCATGAAAACTATTGAACAATACCCATTCGATGAAATGTTGTGGCGTCCGACGATTAAGTTTACAACCTGCTTTTACTACTTTTACTTATCCACACTAATTGAGCAAGTTTTTCCAGCAATATTTTTTGATGCACTCTTGGACCTGATTGGGAAACCACACAAGTATGAAAATATGTTTATCTATTATCTAATATTTTTATGTTAGTTATACTGGAAAATATTATAAACACTGAAAACTTTTTCGATTTCAACTTTTCAGATTTAGTCTTAAGACTGGCTTTTGTTCTTTAGTTGTAAAATTATGATATCATGGTTTAACTTTGAGTTTTATATTAATCACTGATCTGATCAAATGTGTACTTATATAGGTACATTATAATCATTGTTAATTTTTACACACTGTGTATATCAGTTTTTAAACGCTATGTAAGTTTTTGATTAACCATCTTTAGAATTAATATTAATTTTTTGGGGTTCATTCCAAGTATAACTTTCAAAAAAATAGTCATTATTAAGACACTTGTAAAGAACTTCATCAAATAATGCTTTGTAAATGTTCAGTGTCTCTTTCGTTAGAATTTTTTAATTCAATGTACGTAATCAAAATTACATATTTACATATAGTTATAAACGATACATTATAATTCATAATACAAATTATAGTAACATAATATATAGATAAGTATCTATATATTTATGACTCCAAAAAAAAAAAAAAAAAATGCCTCTTATTTAAATATGACGTGTCATGTATGAATTTACGCTTAATCCGGATTTGAGATTCAATAAACAAATAATTATAATTTTTTTGCGAAAAAACAATGAAAATTATGTGCAAGTACTTAAAAATTTCATGACATAAAATAAAATCAATTTGTGGTACACATTTCGTCCGTCCGAATACCTACCTAATTCAATGACAATATTAGTTATTTTTATTTAATAAACAAATGTTTGGACCGATACCTATTATAAATGCCGTTTATAAATTATAGTGTTTCGATATATTTTAAGATTTACCAAATCTATTTTATAAATGCGAAAATAATTGTTTAGACTTGGTTTGTATTTATTTTATATTATAAGATATAAAAGCTATAATTAAATGCTTTATCCAGAACTTTAATCCAATCTATTGTCACATGCAGTCTTACATGATCCAATATACGTATATATGTCGTAGGCCATATGGATAATTAGTTTTTTTGCGAAAAGACTAGGCTCTTTACAATGGGGTAGCCTGTTTGCGAACTATTTATTATTTTTCAAAACAGCCTGCTATTTTTCAGGCTCATTGCATACAGACTAACGGCAGTTAAGCCTTTTAAGTATTACAATCATTTTATAGTAATAATATTTTGACTATTGTATTACTAGTTTTATTTTATATTACTAACCATATTATGTAACATGTAAACTGATCTATTATATTATTGTATTATAGGTACATTATTTTCTTTTTGTCTGCAATTTTGCCAATATTATATTTTGAATCTCTAATGGTCCACAATCTACCTTTGAAATTTACTAAAATATAACTGATAACTTGAGGTATAACTTATTTCTTATCGCTATTTCTGTATCATTTTTTCTGCAGTCAATATTCCAAAAGTAGTTCATGAACTATTAGACACTCAAAATATAATATTGAAAAAGTTATAGACAAAAATAAAATAATGCGCCTATAATACAATAATATAATAATTTAGTTAACATGTTACATATAAGGTTAATAATATAAAATAAAACTAGTATGGTCAAATGATTATTACCATAAAATGATTGTAATTTTTAAAAGGCCTAACTGCTGTTAGTTTGTATGCAATGAGCCTGAAAAACAACAGACTGTTTGGAAAAATAATAAATAGTTCGCAAACAGGTTACCCCATTGCAAAGAGTCTAGTCTTTTTGAAAAAAAAACTAATTATACGTATGGCCTACGACATGTATACATCTAGGTATATATTTCGTATATGTAGTATACATAATTAGGGCAAAAGGTTCCATTAAAAACGAAATGTGTTTATGTAAATAATATGTTATGCACAAATATAGGCACACGTTACATGATACAACCACGTCATCATTTCAAATGTAGTTACACAGAAGTTTTAAGTGTTTTAAGCTTCATAAAAAACATGGATTTGTTGATTTTGGGCCCTTAAATTGCACGTTATATAACGTAATTATACACAAATTATATAATAGGATTCTATTTCTAGTTGTTTATTTTATTAAAATAATATATATATATATATGTGTGTAAGTTTTGAATCTTTCGTTGTATATTTTATCCATTATATTAAATATATATTAATGCATAACTATAGCTTATGTGATATGTAATGAGAAATAACCGCTTGACATTCTTTTACGATTAATGTTATTCATCATTAGCATTAACACAAATTTTTACATTAAAAAAGTACCTATTCCACTACAATGCCAATAAAAATAATGATAGGTTAATTTTATTAACAAAATCCAATACAAAAATTCGTTTTTCAAGTAGAATTTTCAAAAACAAATAACATATTATTATTTAAAGTGAATACATTCACAAATTCTTCAAATTTTAAATATATATTTAAATTATATATATTCATACAAAATATTATATCAGTAGTAATTTTTTATAAGTTAACATTAGCTGTTATATAATCATAGCATACATTACACAACGATAATTTTCATTTACCAATATATCTATTTTACCATTATAGACGCTTGTTACCTTTACAACAAAAAATCTATGTAGTAACTATGGCTTTATCTTACTTCACTACAAAAACTTGGAAATTTGACAACTCAAACTTTTTGGGATTAATTGATAAGATACCAGACGTTGATCGCAAAGAGTTTGACTATGATTTCAAAGATGTAGACATCACCGATTTTATAAGAAATGCGGCAATCGGCTCTCAAAAATATCTGTTTAATGTTGACGAAACAAAACTACCATACGCAAAAAAGCTATATAACCGGTAAGATATATCTGAATAAAAAGTTTAATGGTTTTTTTTTCTTTTTCTTTATCCCAGAAATATTTATTACAAGAATTTTCTGTATAATAAATTCTTATTTAAATAAACATTACACTGATTTTCAGATTCGTATGGATGGACAGATTACTAAAAACATTTGGTGCAATATTAATGGTATTCATTTTATTTCATTTTAATATTATACCAAACGCATTCCTTCACGACATATTTTGTTATTTTTAGTTAATTAAATCGAACTTTTATTTTATGAATAATTTATTTGTCGGGAAACACGATTTTTATATTTACATGTGTCATGTATGTATAATTTATTTCGGTATAATAATGTTCTTGTTTTATGTTTAAAAATGTTATCAATAATAAATAGCCCTGAACTTTATCATTTGGTGTTCTCTAATAATTTAATGAAGATTTTAGGTCCGCGTATAGACTTCTTTAATTTACACGAATTATCAGAAATAATTGCTTACACTAAGAACCAATATTAATAAAAGCTTATAAAAGCTTTTATTTCCTCGCCCACACTCCATTGCCAAGTATTTACTTGAGCATTACCTGTTATATAGATAGATACCTAGTATATTGTATAGTATATTAAATTTGTATTGATAATTAATATAAACGATCCCCAATTACTATATACACGATGATTCTTTTTAACGTAATCATTAATTTTATTAGTAACTATATGAGTATAGGACCAACATTTTGCAATTAACATTATCTCTATACGACTTCACTTCACAAATCAATAAATTCTCAATACAAAATTTTTAATGATATTTAATTACCAAAATCAGTTTAATTATATATTGTATAAATAAATAAATATATACCTATTTATCATAGTTTAAATAAATTTCTATAAATAGATAATATTGACTTGAGTTCTCAAATCCAATACTAATAAATGTAAAATAATGATAAAAAGTGATACCTAAAATAAGAAACCGAACATTATAATTTATAACTATGAGTTATAATTGTACTTACCAGTAACTATTTCATAATTTTACAGATTAATAATTATTATATCTAAATATCAGTTATGTCTATCTATTTATTATTCATCAATGTTTTTGATGTCGTACACTATTTTTATGCTTATTAATTTTGGTTGTAGATTTATCAAACATCAATATACTATACCTATTTAGTACAGTAAATTACTCAGATCGGGTCTAAGTTCCTATTCTTATCTATGATTTTAAAAAAAAATAACTATTTCATGAGGTTTAAATGGTTTAATATTTTTTTTATTTATTTCTATAGATTGTGTATGAATACCTAGTTATTACTTATTAATTATTTATGTTATCTACCTACATAATACGTGCATATTATTACATATCATATGATTAACTTTTATGTGTTTTGCATATTTACCGAGTAGGTACCTATATGATAACACATTTTTTTTTAACGATCGCATGTGTGTAAGAAAATTAAGAGACAATAAGAGACTTAGACATTTAATAACACTTATTTTATTCGTTTCAGTACATTAAATGAATAATAATAATAATACTGTAACATTTCACTCTTAACAAATTCCTCCTTTAAACGATCGAAACGAAATCGTTACCTAATCATCACCAGCCTTATATTAGTTTTATGTATTTTATACCCTGTCAACGAGTTCCTACGAAATACCGATGTGATAGCAAAATACATGAATCACATTTATATTGCCATAATTTAAACTGTAAATAAACAAATTTAAATGCCCCCAAAACATTTATAATTAACATATTTTAAAATAACACTGATAAAAACCAATAAGTCGCACTACTATTTATTACACATAATAATATGTTAATTATTTCAAAAACTGTAATACAAGTAGATACTTACATACCTACTTAATTCTACAGAATGTTTCGGAAGTATGTTAATCGTTTAATAACAACTGCAGCTGACTATTGTTATATTATTGTAAGTAAGATAGTTTTATACTCGCACAGTTGTAAATGATAATCAGGTATCTGGTACATAAACTACGAGTATATAATATCTATACTTATTATTTTATAACAGTGCCTACAGTGAGTATTTACATAGTCAATATAATTATAATTTATAACTAAGTATTAAGTACTTTTATCATTAACTAATAAATGTACTATATATAGTGGTTTTAATTAAATTTAAAAACAATATTATAATCACTATTTTTCACTTAAAAATTATTAAGATTTCTATTTTAATTTATAGGTACTTAAAAGTCATCATACCTAATATATTTTATTATATATACCGAGTGAGTAGAGCATTTTTACTCTTTTTTTTCTTCGATAATACTTCATTCATTCGAAATCTGATTTTTGAAAACTTTTAAGTATACTTTAAGAATTTATTTTCAAAATTTCAAGATTAAGAAATGTTTTATGAAAAATACAAACTTCTGTTTTTCAAATAATAATTTCTTCTTCTTATACAGTAAAAATGTTGACGTAGGTACCAAAATCATTATTAAAATAAATAGTTTTTAAGTTAATTAACTTTGTGTACTAAGATTACTGAATAATAGGTTCATGATGAGTTTAAAAATTATAGGTACTTAAGTGTTTCAAAATTTTAATAGTTAATAATAATCTATTTTGATTTTGAAATTACTTTTGATTTCTTAAAAAAAAAATTACGATTTTTATTAATATTTGAAATAAATTCGTTTATTTTATATTTATGTAATTTTGCTTATATAGTTTTATGTCTCTCTATAAAAAAAAAAAAAAAAGTATACTCTATTATCATTTAGTATTATCAAAACTTATTATAGATAACTTGTTATATAAAATATAATATGTTTAATCGTTTTATTTTTATTATTATTATAATATAAATACATTGTATTACAAAAATGTAACTTTACAACTTAACATAATATATTAATTAATTTATTAAAGTAAATAGCAAATAAAATAAAACATCTTATTTTAAATTAATAAAAAAAACCTTGATAGTATTATCGTTCATTAGTTTTTGTGGTTTCACAAAGTTTCACGAAATTTCATCAGTTTTATTTATGTTCAACGAGAGAAAAAGGAAAAAAATACTTAATGATAAATTATAATCTGCAGATTAATTAATAAAGTCAGAAAAAAAAGTTAGAATTAAAATAATTGGATTAAACTTCTGATCAAAAATAATCGAACCATTTAAGTATTGTATTTATATGCATAAAATTACGATAAAAATGAAAAATTAGATAAAATATTTTAAGATTATAATAGAATATATATACAAGAAAAAGCTCGTTGTATAATATATATATATTATATAGTTTACTGTTACCGCGTTTTCATCTCTCAATTTTTTTCCTCGTTACCTTTTTTCTATTTCAAATCCAGATAATATTATAATCGATTTTAAATGTATTTAATTTATTATTAATTCAAGTTAAGAAAGACTTTTTGAAAAAAAAAAAGGTATTTTAATGACAAGAATGAAATTACGATAAAACTCTCAACACTCTGTATATTATATTATAGTGAGTGCTAAATAATGTTTTGTTAGTTTTTATACCTACAATAGATGGAGATGGTTAAGTTTGGTGTATGTTAAATAAAAAAAAAAACCATTAGACGTCATATATATCCATATAATATATAACTCATATATCACAACTGCAGAGGTCAGATGAGACGGTAATTAAATGTGTACCTAGAGTTAGACAGAAATTAGATAATATGTGTCTCGTTAATTATTCAGTTAACAGCAATAATTATATGTTAGAATAGTTTCGATTGATTTATTTGTATATTTAATGTCCTATTGAACCATTGTGTACATAAAGTTAATTGTTATTGTTACAGTTATTATTATACTGATATTATTATCATATAATTATAATAATATAAAAAGTATAGCGTTTTTATTTTACGGAATTCCACGATTAATGGGCCTCTGCAGCTATGATAATATAAATAATTTTAATGAAAATATTGTGGGTATCGTCAAATGCCAAATATTTGGTCGTTTTCACATTTCAATCTACTTGTATTGAAATCTGCAGCGAACCGATTTTTTTTACTCGGTAATCGACAACTTTTTAAGAGAAAATGATTATAAACGTACACCATTAATATGGGTCATATAAATATACTCAATATAGTCATATCTCGAAGTAGATGTACATATAATTATATATAAATCTAAACCAAATGTATAATACATACGCATGTGATATAAATATATATATATATAGTATATGTTATGTATATCATATAAACATGTATATCGTACGCTTAAATATCATGGATCATATAATAGTATTACGTGACTTTTATAATTTGTAAGTTATAACTATTCAAACAACAACTTCTAACAAGTATCATTAAATGTGTATTATATTGTGTATATATGTAGGTACTGTGTATTGTAAATCTATATTTTAATTATTTATAGCCATATTATAGGCAAAGGTTAGAGAGTTATTGAAAATAATGAAATATGTGCTCAGTAGGTAATTTATATAGGTAATTATAACTATAAAACCATCATTAAAACAGAAAATTTCAAAAACATTTTTGATTTTAACTTGTTAGGTTGTTTTTGAATCGTTTAAAAAAGCCATAAGTTATAAGTAAAGACCGGATTTTTGTGCAGCTAAAATCTAAAAAATGTGCAATTAAAATGTTAAAATGTGCAAAAACGTGCAAAAACAAAATTTTCATTATAGGTACTTCAAATTTTAATTTTAATAAGTAATAACTAATAATTGACTTTACAATATTTGATCAAAATAATAATAAACTGACAATATGTATATAACTGACTTTACAATATTTGATTAAAATTTATAATCATGTACATTTCCAAGTTTTTTTCTTTAAAATTATGTCTTCTGTCACTTAATATATTTTTTAACTGCGAAAACACGTTCTACGTCGACACTTGTTATCGGGTATTGTTTGTAGCAGCTTATAATAGCAGGATCTTCTTTTAAATCTACATAATTTTCATTTATTAAATTGTTGTACAGTTTTAAAATATTGTATCCGGAAAAAAATTCCTGTTTTTTTGATAAAAATATCAAATACTAATTTGAATTTTTCATATAGTATTTGTCCCTATAGACTGCAGTAGGACTGTATGTGTATACTGAATATGTAATCGATAATCTATCGACTATCGTAGTAAGGTACCTTAATCATTATCTTAATTACTTCGTATTATATGGTTGTATATATATATAATTATATTGTTAAGTATAAAAGTCCAATACTTTGTATAACAACATAATATAGCACCGATAAAAATAATACAAAAATACAAAAATATTTGTAAAAAAGTACATTTTTATAAAAAAAAAAACCCGAAACGTACAATTTTGTGCAACATAAAACTTTCTTTAAATTAATCTACTCGTACATCTCTTGATTTGGATTTGTAGCTTGTTTCTATTGAATTTAGAACACGCCATAAAAAGATGCAATTACACGGGAATCCGGTCTTTAGTTATAAGAAAATTATATAACTAGTTAAGACCTAAATTAAGTTAAAATATTTTTTAAATGTTAACTTACCTTAATTTTTTCAACTAGAAACTCTTTGTTGAATGACTTCTTTTACATTTAATTATAGTATTAAATCATTGTGGTAGATACAAATATCATATTCGAATTATTCGAAATGATAATATATTATAAGTAATTAATTAAAAATCAAAGTCGTTGATTTTTCAAAAGTTTATGATATTACGGTTTATCTTGTTCTTATTTTACTAAACATTTTTAACCTACAAAGTTTAAAATAATAGAGAATAATTGAACACCCTACGGACGACGTTCAGCAATAACACAGCAATATAATTATAATAAAAGTACTTAAATATTAGTTCCCAATCACAATTATATATAATAACAATGTAACGTAACATATTTTATGTTTATAAAATGATATAAAACTTTTATTATAACTATGCCATTGTATTATATACATCATAAAACTAAATTCAATTAAATTCATTAATTAGTAAATATGAATACAATTGTATTATTGTTAATGCATTTTTATATTTAAATTGAGGAACATAATCGCAGCTATAGAATCATTAAATATTGTTGGTTTTTCAATAAGTTTTTTTTTTCGTATAAACGTTGACGACTTTTTGGTTAGAAGAAATTTCCATATGACTCTTATTTAAAGATTAGAAATCGATTTGTATGTAGATATATGAGATATATATAGAGGATTCTTATGAAAGTCATTTTCTAGCATTAATATCTATTATAATTTTTCAAATAATATTGAAAAACCATCTTTACTTTATGATCTTACGTCGTTCAAACATTTTCGTAGACTGGTATGAAAATATTATTTATTTATGCCATGATACAATTTTACGTTTTTCAATATAAAACATACTATATTTTTTTAACTTGTAAAATAGCTGATTTATTATAATTCATTTTATCGTTGATATTATTTTCGAAATCAATAACCTGAACGTATTACAAATAAATATAGAAATATTAAATATTGAATAAGTATGACAGGAACAAAAAAAAAAATTCTTTTAACAATATTTAATCACTATCGATATGGTTAATATTATATTATTAAATATCACAAAAAATTCTGCACATACACTTATGGTTGACTTATAATATAATATTGTATGTACTATAAATATATTCAATTAGAAAAGAATACAAATTTCGTTTGACACGAGCATGACTACAATAATAACGAATAATATTGAACAAAATATTGCACATTAATATCCAAATACAAACATACAAAAAAAAATAAAGGTCACTGCGGGGATGACGTTATTCGCAGCTTAAAAATAACATCCACATCATCATAATATCTCTAATTAAATTATTATACTCCATGATCGACGAATAAAAGTTAGTCTTTTGCTCCGAAAAGGTATTTAAATATACAATATTGTATTAAAGCTAGATATACTGTTAATTTATATAAAATATAGTGCAGGTCTCTGCAGAGCACTGATGTTATACTGTTGTAGTTATTTATCTATATATTGGCGCACACAGGATATTAAGAAATCACAGCCCTCCAAAAATGTTTTTTCTTAATGAAAATGTATTTCTTCGAAATATAAAATTAAAAATTCAATTATTTTATCAAATAGCGGTAGAACTAAAATAAAATTTCGGAAAAATTAATATTAGCACACTATAGAAAATCAATCTTGTGAGCTTGTTGCAATATTATAGTTGTATCTAGGAAGGTTTCTAACCTAACCTAACCCATGGTATATTTAGAAATTGTCCACGTACCGGCAAAAAATATAACCACTAAATCATAGAAAAAAATTAATTAATTTACGTAAGTATTGGCATTGATTATGTAATAGTTTTATTTATTATAGTTTATTTTATAAGCAATGCTTTTAGTTTAAAAAAAAACAAATTTATAATACAATGAACTTATTTTCATATTATTATTATTTTAATACTTACAAAAAATGATAATTAAAAATGTAAAATGCTCTTTCTTGGATTGTAACTTACAAAATTCTTTAATTACTGTACCATAATTCATAATTATTGATGGTAGAAGTAAAATTACTTTCGTGATTTAATATAGCTTAGGTATTTTTGTTAATGGTATTTGGTAATGATAATGGGTATCATAAATAATGGTAACAAATATTAAAATATCAAGATATTATAATACTTATTGTAGGAAAATTAAGGGAATAAATGAATGGAGTTATGAGAGCTTTAAAACAATGAAAATTCAAAAAAAAATTAGCTATCCGCGGCAACAGCCAGTTTTTCTCGTAAATACGGCTCTATACCCTGTACAATCTACCTATATAAATATTATGATTATGTACCCCACAACTTCCAATAAAACACAATTATATAATATTATTTTAGTTAACGAGCGCGGGTTATTTGTGTGCTTCACAATACAAATGTTCGTCGTCTGTTTGCGGTTGAATAAATTAATGATAATAATTAATCGAAACAATGTTTTTCAGAGGAATACTTGCATAGTACTTACCTAATTATATTACCTATTTCATTGTTCAATAAAATATTTGTATACCTACGCTTTATTAGTATAGATAATGAACAAATTATAATCTTTTAAAAAAAATTCAAAATATGCTAGCACTAAAAATGTTTTACAAGTAACTTAATTAATAAATAAATTAAAAATAATCTAAAATTAGATCGAAGTTAATAAATAATAAGACACGGAAAATATTTAAATCGGTTTATACGCTAATACTCAATGCTACTACGACAAAGCCTGCTTGAAAGGGCTTTCAATAATAACCATATTTTATATTAGAACTGATTGTCGTTTTGATAGGCGTTATTTAAAAGAAAATGTGGAAAAATAACTAAAAAAAAAAAATGCAATATGCCTTGGAAATCAAAAATGAACTTCTTGAATCAAAAACCAAAAAATACACAAATATGCGACATAAATTACAAAATCGTTATATTGACATTACGTGAAATTCTGTTTCTAGTTAGCTTGTTTATACGATTTTACAAAATATACATATGCAAATCCAGGAAGTCATCTGCCACGCATAATTTGAATTACATTGTCATCGTTCTACCGACTAATACCCACCGCATAACAGCAATACATAATATATATTATTATTCGCCTCCAAATTTAGCACCAGAGAGCGTATTCTTTTTCATACGCAGCGTCGTCGTCGGTAGATATAATCTATTGTTGGGTAGGTACACGCGAGCGCAGCTTCATTACAATTTATCACTCGTCGTCGTCGCCGTCGCCGTCGTCGTCGTCATCAGTCGGTTCGACTCGACCCGGTCGCGATATACCTACCTACATTGCAGTTTCGGCGTGTCTCTCCGTCTTTGCAGTGACAAAATTATTTCCGCTTTCGGATTTCGCCCGCCGCGAACTGTAACGCGAGATCGCAAGTACCTTTACAATTGCCGAACGCCAATATAATAATATAATAATATCATCATAAAATATTATATTATTATATCTTTATACGTAATACATTTTACTTATAAATATCGAGGTAAACGATCAACGAGATCACATATTATAATATTATTATAATCAGACACGGATCCAGAAAAAATCTGAGAGCAAACAATTTTTTTATCGGTACTTTATTCATAAATAAAATTTTTTTTCAAAATAGTATGTATAAGTAATCAATGTAATAAATAAATTAATGATTATTTAATATAATATAATATTTATTAATAAAATAATAAAATCTAAACGTCTATTTACCTTGTATAATATATTATATTACCAGACGTATATGTGATTTGAAATATAGTAATATCAGGATTTGTAGAATTATAAAAAAAATGTGAGGAATAATATGTCTGGAAGGGGGGCCTGGGGCCCTAGAACACCTCCCTGGATCCGTCCCTGATTATAATTCTACACTAAATAAAATATAACACATTCAGATATTATGTATCTTAATATACCTATACGCAACTTTAGGTATAACGCACCGTACACACAATAATTATGCAAATAATATTATGGTTGAAGGGGGCCGAGATTAATATTACAATTTCAAAATAATATTGGCTATATTGTTTATTTATGTTTGTATAGAGCAGTAGCATAGCTACCCTCGTCAGCGCCCCGAAGCAAAATATGTTTTTCGATCTACCTAATATAAATTAAACTCTTCGACTTTTGTCATTAAAATATTGCTAAGATAAAATTTATATATTTTTTTATAAAACACCCAATCACATTTATATCACATAAAACATTTTGTTTCAAATTAAATAAAAATAAATTTGTGCCCTTAGGCAATTGCCTCTGTTTCTCCTACGGCGGATTCAGCAGGGAGGGCGAAGGATCGCCTTCTGTAAGCTGTGTTTTATTTAGGAAAAAATAAAAATATTAGTTGATAACTTTATTTTTTGCTTTTTCCATTTTATAGTAAAACTTACACGTACCTATATATAAGTTATTTTTAATATTCATCCCCTCTTCCATCTCGGTCTGGATCCGCCTATGCCCTGCGGTAACTACGCCACTGATATAGAGACATTTTGATACGTTTTGTCGTTTTGAACAATGGGAGAAGGGGCATATATCCACCATAAGTCATAATTCTTTCGCCCTGTCCTTTTTTTGTGTGCACCACTGAAACAGTCTGTATCGTATACAATTTCCGTTCTCATATTCATAGGTACTCATTTCGTAAAACATAAATACAGTGACAGGACTTTCAAAATGTTACTTCGTGGCGAATTGTTGAGAAGAATATTTTACCTATATTCAAAATCATTTTTCTGTAATAAAAATATAAGTATATGTAGACTGTTTTTCGATTTACACTTTATTATTACTTATAGCCACCTAGGTACCTATACAAACGTGAAAATTTGAAGCCGAGTACGTCCTACACCATTTTACAAAATAAAATAGTTAAATATTCTTATTCAACATAATAATAGTCATTTTGACATAGTCCACGTACCCTTGACCCATTCCCTTGCCACGGACAGAAAATCCATCACTGAATACAATAATCTACAGGTAACGTTGTTGTCGTCGGCCCGGTGATAATAAAATTAAAAACGGCCGCCGCCTTGTCAACGATAGTAATAATAATAATAATAGTAGTAATAATAATAATAATAATAATAATAATAGTAGTAATAATAAATAATAATAATAATAATAATAATAATAATAATAGTAATAATAATAATAATAATAATAATTGGCAGTTAAGCATCTGTTAGCGGTGTTTGGCGCGAGCCAACTGCTACGCAAGATAATGAACAATGATATTATAATCTCAAATCGTGTGTTTAGCAGCTGCATGTGGCGTAACTATAGTTGATAACGATTATAAAATTTAATAATAATAACAACGTTATGTTTTAACGTTTCACGGTAAAACAATCGGAGACATTATTTCGCGCGGAGCACAGTTTTTCGCGACAGCCACCGCCATCGTCATCGCCTCGTGAAGTCGCGAAATGAAAACGAAAAAAAAAAATTAAACAAATATTTACATTTCCATGTTCCGTTATAAGTTAGACAGTCTCCTATTGTGTGGTTCTGTTATTTGTTTAACGTTTAATAATAAATTATTGTTCGGCACGCATATGCATACACATTTAGCTTATAGTCGCGCGAATTACGTCTCTTTAAAAACGATGTTTGAAAAATGACATGTTTGTTAAACGCAGGCCACAATATGTGCAACAAGCCAACCCGTCATGATATGAATATTAAATAAAAACTGCAATAGGTACCTCCTATTCGAAATCGGATCACTCTACAGGACTGATATAATCGTATTTGTTTTACCTACCTATCGTCTTACGCGATACGATGCATTTAACACTGTTGCTGACGGCCATCTCATTTGTGACGACCGATGTCTGTTTTGCCACCGATCCACTGGCCCAAGAGTATGGTGAGCTAGTGTTTTCGTCTTTGGTGAGTACTTAATTTACTTATTTATTTACTTATGCGAATTAGTGTAGGTGCGTAGGTAGGTACTAGTCAAATTACAATTTGGTGAAAACAATAAAATATCTTATCTAATCCAGGTAAGAATTTTAATTGGTTATTAACGTTATAGTCAACTTTTCTATATTATATAGGTTTATACAATTCACAACAAAAACATGCATTGGATCTAAAAATTAATATTGTACTATACTTACATATGTACAAATATTGGATACTTCTTTGTTTTAATTTATAGTAGAGTCAGGTTCTTTGGATACATATTGATGCTACACATCCAGCAATTTAACTCTTTTTATTTTCAGTGATAACGACAAAATAATTAGAAAATAGCATATAAAATTAATTCAATTGATAATCCTAATTAACATATTCTACATTTCTGTTATTTATTTCAAAAAAATTCTAAACAAGGCATTTAGGAAATCTTTTCTGCCAATATAAAAATAGGTACTAAAAAAACTAGTTGATATTATAATGATAATATAGTAATTTACGTGGTATATTTATATGCAGTATAGGAAAATATATTGTATAATAATATTTTTGTAATTTATTACATATTATTACATAAAAATATATTTAAAAAAAATTTTTATAATAGTATGCCCATAATTTAAAGTATTTTTATTTTTATTTACAAATCTCAAAAACTGCTTCTTATTTTGAATTATTGGAACTTGAATGTAATTTAAAATATCTAATAATATTTATTTATTGTTCTTTGACTTACTACAAATTAAGTCATGACTTTTATAATATACTTAATGGTATAATATATGTTTATCTAAATCAACATTTTAATTTAAAGTTTTATTGCTATCTATTTATTTATCTGATTATTATTTAATTTTAATTTTAGCTTTATAGACATGGTGATCGAGCAATAACTGATTTATCTTACCCAAATGATCCTTATAGAAATAAATCCTACTGGATCATGGGTTTTGGACAATTGACTAATGTAAGTTTTTTTTCATAAAAATATTTAAAAAAAAAAAGATTGTTGAGATATTAATCTTGGTATCAATACTTAGTAAAAATACTTCTATTTTCATACTTTTATGTTTTTAGTACATTTTTAACCGAAGTAATATTTTAAAATTATACCCTCCTGTGAGAGATATAATATGTCAAGTAAAATAACAATGGTAATAACTAATAACACTAATAACTTATTACTTATTATTAGGGCCCAGATTAAAATGCACTTAAAACCATACAAATATGCTCTAAAAAATAGCCAAAAATGACCTTAAAATGCCATATATTTTTAGTATTTTTTTAATATTTTTTTTTTTTTTACACAAATTGTAATTTATAAATGAGCTATAGGTATAATTATTATTTATTAATTTATTATTTTATTAAAAAAACTGAAAATTTTAAATATTGACTGCTATGATGTTGACACACATATGTTTTGGACATTTTTGAAGAAATATTATTCATCCTAAACATACCAAAATATATATTAAAATCTATGTAAAATATTAGCATTCTAAGTATGCTATTATATTTACTAAGTTTTGAGCATTGCATTGAGTAATAATATATTGTTTAATATGTTCAAACACCAAAGATTTTCTATTGTCTGAAAGAATATTTTTGAACGTGGAAAAGCTCCTTTCGATATCCACGGATGTAATAGGGGCAAATTTCATGTGACAAATATCGTTTGAAGTTAATTCTTCTGATATTTTTGTATGAGAAGTTTCCTTGTCTTCTAAAATGTTTGCAATTGTTTCTATTACAGTATAACCACCATTTTTTTCTAAAAGGTTTCAAATTTTTTTCTTTATTACTTTGCCTTGATTACTTGTATTTGTATTATTTAAAATATAAGTTTTCGCATTATTTACAATACCAATTGCCTCAGTTAGGGGTATTACTGATGCTTCGAGGCGTTTTATACTACTTAGTATATTTCCATAGTTTGCTTTTATGAATATTAAGTTTGCTTCAATTTCTATGTCTGCCATTAAACATTGTGCTTTTTTGATAACTATGGCATCGTTTTCTTCAAGTGCATTAATGACCGTTTTAATAAAATTAAAATGGTCACAGTAGTATATTGAAGCTTCTATCTAAGTACCCCAACGTGTCAGTATTGGTTGAGATGGTAAAGGAATAGTCGGTCCCATGCTTTTAAATTTTAAAACTCTTGAAGGTGCTTTAAAAAAAAATTTTTTTACATTGGATATCAGTGCATCTACCTAAGGAAAATGTTCACACACTTCTTCAGCTACCCTATGTAAACCATGTGCGAGGCAAGTGACATGTTCCATTTTCGAGTATAAAGCTTTAATGTTCTTACCTGCTTTAACCATATACGGAGCTGCATCACTGACGAACAATAAAACATTATCATGTTTCACTCTGTTTGGCCAAACAATAGCCATTGATCTGTCAAATAATTTCGTAATAGTTCTATTATTAGCTTTTTCCAGTACTTCGCAATTTAATAAAAAAGATTTTCCTGGATCAGATATTTCCAATATACCAACTATTACATTGGCCACATAACAGCCTTCGATGTCAGAGGTCTCATCAATACTGACCCATATTTTTTTATTTTCAAAGTACTTTTGAATAGAATTAATAGTTTCATTAAAAAATCGATCTACATAATTCTTTTGTAATGTAGACTCATCTGGTATATTTTTGGCTGTATATTTTTCTAAAAAGTTGCAAAATAATTTGTTCTTCAATTTATTGAATGGAATATTCGCAGATAGCATAGCCATATAAAGTTCTTTATTAAACGAATAATACCCATTGCTTAACGCCTTAACATGTCACTTAAAAATTTTTGTGGTTTTTCATTTTTTTTTATTGTTCATCGATGTTAATGCATTAATATGTTTTTGTCTTGATATATGTTGCTGAATTAAAATTTTTTTTTCAACCACGACTTTAATATTTCAAATTTTACAAAGTAAAATAGTCCCATCTGTTGTAAAGACGTCTCTTCCAAATTCGTTTACGTAGTCACGCAAGTGAGAAGAAGTAGATGATTTTATTTTAGTCATTATTTAACACACTATTTAACACATTAAAATCACTAACACACGTAATATGACCAACGACTGCATTTAACACGAACTGACTGATTATTTATTATTTGACCGAATATGGATGACGCTCCACAGTCAATAATAAATTAAGATAAGATAAAAACTGAATAAAAAAAAAATTGACAATGTGTATGGAAAAACCCGATAAACCGTCTTAATTTTATATCTATATTGAACAAATATACATTAAAAACCAACAAAATGACCCAATAATGCTAAAAATGAAAAAACGTTGAAATATGCAAAATAAAATTTGTAGCTTTCAAACCCTCGTTACATGAAACAAATTATGTACTTAGAAAGCATTGTGTATAATCAACCAAAAAAATATGCACTTTGCATTGAAATCTGGGCCCTACTTATTAATAATAAGTTATAATTAATAATCTCAAGTTATTGATACTGCTTAAATATTATAAAGTAAAAGTTAAAGTATTGGATAGTTTATTTTTATATTGGCATACATTATAATTATTTAAATGTATTCTCTAGGTAATTATGTATATTTTATAATTTTAGCAAGGAAAAAGTAGACATTTTGAATTTGGAAAATGGATAAGAAATAGATATAGTGATTTTTTACCTGTTAAATATTCAAATGAAGATATATATATTCGTAGTACTAGTGTGGATCGTGCTTTAATGAGTGCTGCTGCTAATCTAGCTGGTTTATACAAACCATCTGGAGAACAAATATGGAACAACAATTTAGGAACTTTATGGCAACCAATCCCTATTCATTCTACTCCTCGAGATCTCGACGAAGTAAATTTTTTAAATATTTTATGCTGTATTTTATAAATTGTTTATTTTTTGTATTAATTAGAATTAATTTAAATATATTAATTTTTCAGTCTTTGTCGTTTGGTAATAATTGTCCTCAGTTCAAAAAAAATTTTGATGACCTACAAAATTTACCAGAAATTAAAAAATTTAATGAAGATCACCAGAAATTATACAATTACCTTAAAGAAAACAGTGGCATGAATTTTACTAATCCAATTGATGACTCATTAACTTTATATGATATATTATTGGTTGAGGTAACTATCATTTATTTTTTAAAAATTATTAAAAAATAAATTATAAAAATTAAATTAAGCTCAATAATAAATTACTTAGTTCTCATAAATAATTTCAATAAATATGTAGCCAAAATTTGTTTAGTTGATTATCAATCCAAAAAAAAAAAAATTTTTTGTTTGAAGATCGGTCAAAAAAAAATATTATATATTAAAACAAAAACAAAAAAATATGTATAAATATTAATTGTAAAAAATCACTAATAAATATATTTAAGGTTATTTTGGGTTGATTGGTCACATTGTTATATAGTTCTCAATTATCATAATTATTATGATATGATATAAATTAATATAACATATATATATATATATTAATGTGTACAAATTTAAAATTTAAATATCAAACTTGTGTTATAAAACTACTACTTAATATCAGTGTCTCAATTTTACGTTTGGGAGCCCATGTGAAAAAGCATAACAGAGGGTTTTTTTTAAACAACTGTCACCAAATCATAAAAGCTTATAAATTAACCTCTTAACTATATATACATCATATACAGTACTAATACAGATTAATTTTTATCAAAAAGTTAAAAAATAATTAAGTTTTTTATTTGGAAATAAAATAATCCCACTCATTTTTTTTTTAATTACCTTAAACTTTAAAAATCTTTAATTTACTAAATAAAACCTCTTTAGTCCAGCAGTCATAAACTATAAAATTGATTTTTTTATCTTATTTATTTTTTAATATCAGAAATTTTTTTAAATAATTAACAATAGGTAACTAAAATATTTTTTGTGCGAGTTTCTATGAAAATTAAACCATTACCTGCAGTTAGAAAGTGTTATCAGGGTAAAATATGGTTTTTACAATTTGTTTTAATAACTAGAAATTATTAAAAATTATGAGTTTAATAAAAATAAAATATAATATAATATGATTTAAAAAACGGTTTTAGTATTTCTTTTTCAGTGATCACATTATGATAATAATATTCAATCTGAATAACAGAAGCTTATTCTTAATAAGTTAATGGATAAGTAGTAATAATAATATTGAAAATAATCGCGAACTGTAGTTAAAATGTATTATTACAATATTAAATTTTAATAATTTAAATACTTCTGCTTCTCAGTATAACTTAGTTATTAACTGCTATCAATAATTATTATTATAAAAAATAATATTCTTTTGTTTGATTAATAAATATACAGAAAAATAGATAATAGGTACCTTAAAGTGTGTTATAAAAGCATATAATTTAAAAACAGAGGGGGTCCTTTTATGTTTATTAGGTCTGTTTGCAGTGCATATTTTGCACATCTGGAAGTCGTGACAATGCTTAATATTGATTATACATTTTAATGTAAATAGTATTGAAATGGTTAATTTATTTGTGTTATTTATTTATTTTTTAGACACAGTTTAATTATACTTTACCCAATTGGACCAATTCTGTATTCCCTGAAAAATTAAGAGAAGTTTCTGAATTGTCATTTCTATTACCAACATATACTCCAATATTGAAGAAACTCAGTTGTGGTATGTGTAAATTTACCAATCATTAAAAATTAAAAAGTATAATAGCTTATAAATAATAATTATATGAAAAAAAGTATTAGGTACATTTATTAATATTTAATTGAATACTCAAAACAACGTACAACTATAAAACTGTTGTATTTAATTTAATATAGATATGTATTTAAAAAATATACTTTGTATTAAAAGTGTAAATTATCTGTTAAGTATTGCATTTATCATAAATATTTTGTATAATTGGTATTTGTATAGTTGATATAATACTTCTTTATTTTTTCCTTATTTTTTTTATTAATAGTATAATAATAATTGTTTTATTCAAAACAAATTGTTAAAAATAATATTTTATAATATATATTAACTATTAAAGGAAATAGCAAAGTTAATAACTTATGTTCTTATGTTTGTTAATAAATCAATTATATACCTAGTATTAAAAAATGTATTTACTCAATATTCATAGACCATTGGATTAATAACAAATATCTGATGAGTCATTAAGTTAAAAGAATAAGTTCTATTAGTTTTAAATTTTAATATTACTTTAATATCAATTTTTTATCTAGTCTTAATGAGGGCACTAAATATGTGGTACTTATTAAAATTATAGCTATTTTATTATAATTTATATTTTTTCTTGAATTAAAATTATTAATTATATATTTTCTTAACTTAACCTATACAAAATCAATAAATATTTATGATAGTTTAATATGCTTTTTTTCAGGTGTATTGCTTAATGAAATTGTTGATAATATGAAACAAAAACGAAATGGAACCATGAAAACTGATTATAAATTATGGGTGTACTCGGCTCATGATACCAATGTAGCTGGGTTATTGCATTCTTTAAATGTGTATGATTATAAATTACCACCTTATGCTGCTGCAGTGTTTTTAGAACTCAGAAAGAGTAAAAACTCAAATAATACTTATGTTGTTACTGTTAGTCATTACATTATTTAACATTTTAAATTATATGTCAACTAAAATGTAATTAATTATTTACATTTTAAAGGTATCATATAGAAACACTTCTACTCATGATCCTTATTTGCTTCATGTTCCGGGATGTGATTCAATAGCATGTGATCTAGACCAGTTTATTGATGTTGTGAATCCAATTCTACTGACAGATTGGTATAAAGAATGCAATAAATCTGATGAAAACAATGTTTTGATTTATTTTGGTAAGTTTTTGTCCTATTTTTCATAATCTTAATCCAAAATATTTTAAAATAACTTTAAAATAGTTTTATTTATTTGCTTTAAATACAATATATATTTTAGTATATATTATGTTAAGGTTTCTTTTTCTTATTATTAAATCCACCACAAATTAGTTATTAATTGACTAAAAGTTTGTCGAAAAAAATGTCAACATAAGAAGAGTTAGATTTAAATTTTTCTAATTTTTTTAAAATATTAGCTTTAAATTTTATTTTTGGTACCCAAAACATATTAAACTATAAAATGTACTATAAATGTCAATGGTTATGTTGAATATTTAACCCAAAATTTCTTTAAAATTATTTTATTTTTTTTAATTAAATCTGATTAGCGATAAATAAAATTTATTTTTCTTTTTATTGACAAAATTATAATGAGTATATTAAATACTATAAATTCATTTATATAATTTTTCATTAAATATGTATTATAAAATGCTTAAAAATGTTGTATAATATTAATATAGTTTGATTAAATGATTCTGGGTCAATCGACTACAACCATTCGACCAACAAGATAATCAACCGACAACCAAAATACCGGCAATAATATACGATGTAGTGATGGATAACGATCAACGATATATATTTGACATCGATATCAATTTACAATATTATTCGATATATTACAATATCGTAATGATTAAATTGAAATCATTATTTTTAGTCTTTACTATAAACAAGTGCGAATTTTCAAAATGTTTGGTAATATTTACTATTATAATATTTGGGAGTCTTGAACCATACTTAAATCATATTATATTTATTTTTTTAATTAATTATGGGTGGATTTTTAAAATACAAATATAAATTAAACGTAAAATTAATTTATTGCATATATTTTAGTCGGTATTTTGGTTGTCGGTTGATTGTCTATCTCCTGATTAAATATACTATGTATGTGAAATAATATATACCTAAAAAAAAATAATAATTCAAACTTCTAATACTTGAAAAAATAATAAAATCAACAAAAGAATTTTCTTTATAAATTGACATAGCATATTTTCAAATCATTTATTTGTTGGTATGTAGAAGATTACAATAGATATGTGTAGTAGGTATCTATATTTTTTAAATGATAAATATTTCACACACATTTTTATATGAATATAATAACAACTGTTTTATTTAATTACTATTTTGTACTTATTTTATTTTATTTTAGGAATTATTGCAGTAATATTAATAGCTGTTTCTATTATATTTTTCACATTGAACAAAAAATACTTCATCTGCTATTGTGGCAGAAATTATCAAAAATGTATGTATAAAAAAATAATTAATACTTAATACTTATTATAATAGTATTTTTATTTATATTTAATAATATTAGAATGCTTTATTTGTTTCAAATATTATTAGTATTTTACTTTATTATTATGATTTATTTATTTTTTAGTTAAAATATACAGTCAAATAATTTATTTACTTTATCATCAAATATAAAATAAAATAATCTAAGAAATGGGAAATGGGAAATAATGAAAATTTTTCAATTTACTAAAATATATTTAGCATAAAGTTGAAACTTAACTTTAACTTTTAAATATATCATTTAAGTTATTTTAGTAATAATTATTTAAGAAATGTCATTAATTCAAAATTTTAAGTATGGCATTTAAATATACTCACTAGTTTTAACAGTTTTTAAATTAATTATCTTAAGTCTAGTTAATTACAAGCAAATGATACTTTATTATCAATAAATGGTACAAAAAAATATTCAATTAAATACTTATATTTTTTAATTATTATTGTACTTGTTTCATATTAATATAAATAAATTTTAAAAATATCTTTTTTTTTAAATAATGACTAAGTGTTTATTATAATTTATTATTCATTAAATATATAATAAATAATATAGCTAATAAAAACATATTGTTATTTTTGTTAATTCACTAATTTATTGTTATATGAACTAATTTTACATATTTAAAGTTTGATAAAATAAGACAAATTTTACAATTAAGTATTATTTTGTAAAATAAAAACAATAGATGTTGGGACTAAAGCTTCTTGTGTTTCCTTTATGCAAATAACATTGTAATATTTTACCCTATGGATTTCTCTGAAAACCAATTATTATTTAAGAATATTGTTAAGAGTACACTACTCTCGCATGGAGTGTCTATCTTATAAATACATAGTACTGCAAATTGTTCGATTTGAATAATCATAACTCGATCATGTTTAATATTTTAGTGAATTTACATATTTTCAATTTTAAAGCTAAGAATATTATTAAGTAAATCTTATAGGCATTATTTATATATTTATTTTTAATTGAGTTATGAACATTTTAAAATATACAAGTAATATTGATTTTTAAAATGCTCTTCATTTACTTTAAAATAAAAATATAAAAAAAAAAGCTTATGAGGTTCACTAGGTAATATTCTTACTTTTTAATTTAATAATAAATAATTTCACTATTATATTTAACAAGCCAAAGTTGAATGGATTATTCAAACATATAATTTACTATGCTATGCGTCTGAAGATAGAGATACATCATGCGGTTGCAGTGTCATCTTAATAAATTAATTTATATTACTATTATTATTGTTGTATACTTTATGTTTTTCATTTCAGTTTAAATGGCATGGACTGAAACTTTTTTTTATGCATCACGACGAATTTATTGACTAAATGTATTGAAGAAAATATCTTATTTTATATACAAAGCATGCTAAATATTTTTATATTACCTAATGGCTTAGTTTCAATATTTTATGATAGTTGATATTATTTATAGCTCATACTAAAAATGGGTGTTTATAACTTTTAACTTTAAAATTATGTTAGATAATAGATAGTATGATTAATGTGTTTTAGTAATTAGATTGTAGTGTTTGTTTTAGTATTTGAATAGAAATATAGACTCCCCATATAATGAAGTATGACTGACGCCAGTGTATCAAATCTAAAAAATTAAATAAAACTTAGAAAAATATGACTTGTTTTTATTTTTATTTTAGTATGTTAAATAGTTCTTAATCCAGTTTCAAATATTTTGAATTGTAACCACTTTAATCTCATTTAACATTGAATAGTTATTGTGAACTGTTTATTAATAACAGTGTAAATAATAATTTTATAGAGATACTTAGTGTATTAAAATTTAACAAACTATTGTATATCATTGACTTCTTTAATAAGCAACTAAAATATTTTATCAACTTCCTTATTTTTGATGTTTTTCTGTAAATTAATTTGAAACACTTAGAGCGGTTACTTATTAATACATCTTTAGGTACATACTAATATTCTTATAGTTGATATTAAATGAAACATTAACAATAGTATTATTGTTGTTTACATACAAATAATAAATATATTTGCTTTATATATAAGGTAAGTGACTAATAATTGGTTATTAGTTATTACTTGTTACTATTGAATCAGGTACTTATAAAATACTGAAATCATCATTTATTTATGTTTATCAAAGTATCAATATTCCTACAGTGCTTTAAATCCATTGATTTAATTTTTAAATGTACTTAAATAGTATCCTACAGTATTATTTTACTGTACGTGAATATGCCTGTGATCCTTCCTTTTAATTTTTACCTTTTAGAAGTTAAGGTACTGTTATTAATTTGTATTTTTCGTTCGGTTTTCAAATAATTTTTGTACTATTTAGTTATGCATAGTTTCAATCTTAAATTGCATTAGATTGGTTACCTATCTATGACTTAAGTACCTTTTTTATATTCGATATGAATTGGCAATTTCGCTTAGAATAAATAATTTAGTTTACCTATAGATAAAAACAATAAATAGCCAAAAATCCAACAATCACCTAAGCTAATTCTTGTTTTAAAAGAATCCAATACAACACGACCATCAAGTTTCAACGTATGAACATTAGAACTTGACTTATATGAGTGAAACACGATTGCGGATTGCCACTATGTGACAGAAGATTATTTTGTACCTAAGAAATCACGAATACGGACGAAATTTAATGTAACTTTACCATGTTGTGCAATGCATGCAGTGCAAATTATCAATTTTCACTTATCATCCGGATGTCTCAAATAAGTAGAAAGCAAAGAATTCACAATATCATTACCAATACTTAAATTTTAAACTTTTTTAATTTTATAGGAATTTGCTTATGAAAACTATTAAATTATTTTGATTTTCTATTTTGGTTTTTAGTAAATATTTTTAATATAATTCTATAGTTTTCTTATAAATAATTAAAATATATTAATTTAAGTATATTTTTACTAATTTATTTCTAATAAATTAAAAGTAAAATAAATGTGATTTTATAAATTACAAGTTTTAAGATATAATTTAAATTAATTTTGGCTCATTTATATTTAAGTATTTAATTGAAATTTTTAACAAAATATTATGAATTTATGTACCTACAGAATTCTTACATTTATGAAGAATTATTTATAAATTTGGCAACATTTACTCGCAATCATGTATTTTTCGAAGGTTCGTTAATATTATCTGTCTGCAACCATGTATCATTAACTTATAAACTTAGTTACCTACTTATTATAGGTAGGTACGTGATAAAAAGGTATAAGAAGAGTAGACCACATAATGTTACGTTAAATATAGGTAAAAATTGGGAAAAATTACTAACTTCCTAGTTTCGTAAAAATATTAAAAATGTGTGCTTTAATGATAAAAGGCGGTAATTTTAATTGGTACCTACCGTGTTATTATATTATCCTCGAGTGTAATTCATCCGCTCTGGCCGCTTTTATACTAGTTATCTACTGATTTGACCAGAATTCGACGTGTAAATATATTATATACCTACAATATACATGTTATTAGGTATATCGTATATATATAGGTATCAAGTGATGGGTACCTAGGTATTATTTTTTTTCCCTTAATATTTTTCTTGATAAAACAGATAAATAATTATTGTATTATAGATTGATAAAAAAAAATGTTGAAAACTGTTAGATGTGTACCTATTAACTATTAACACAAAATTAATGTTTCGATTTGACAACGCAATTATTTATACGTTTTAAGTAAATAAACAATTTTTTGAATATAAGTTCAAAATCAAAAAAACCAGGATAAGTGATGTCGCTTCTTAGGACGTGTCTATAATACATGTATACATAAATAGGTAGGATGTATCAATTCTATTAAATGTATCGTCCTGATGATTTATTATTTCGTTTTTTCTTTTACTTCCGTCCCGTTTAAACTATGTGAATGTTTCAGTGTATCATGCCGTGCCTCGGGAGGAGACCGAGACTGTGGACTTTGATCAAGACGGACGGAGTCGCGTAGCCGTCTCGTTTCGGATGAACGGCGTTGAATCGACATCCGCAGATGTGTAAATATTATATAGTACGTATCCGCAGCAGTAATAATGTGTAACGCAGAGGGCGGTGCATCAGTGATGTTTTTTGATAAGGTCATTTTTCATATAATATAATATTATGAGCGATTTTTGTAAATTGTTGAAGAATTCAATTTTTCCAAAAACTGCACGTCTTGATCGATCGTTAAGTGCCACAATTTATCCAGTGGATCCGCGTGTGTAATTGTCGTGAAATCGTCGTTTGTTTATACATTTAATATTATTATTCATCTATTAAACATAATATAGAAATATAGAATACAGGTTTTATCCATATATTATAATCATTCTGATTTTTGACCCTATCACATGCGTAAGATGGATGATAACTTTATCTGTACAATAGCTGCAGCGTAAGGTTATGATGGTTACTTGACCGTATTGTATGTAATTATTGCGTCGCTTTTGTCATATTACCAAGTATATAATATTTATACCTATCTATTATATGTCTACATAAGTTAGGTATATTAAAAATTTAATAAAAGAAAGGTTAAGCGAAACTTGGACTTTATAATTTCGTCTAGTTGCTGGTGCGCATAATGTATTAATATTATGACGTAAACTTTTGTGTTGAGAACGTGAAAGCGATAATGAAATGGTGATAGTACTATCTATGTTCGGTATGTTTTATAATATGGTAGGTATAACTTTGGATCACTAGATTAAAAAAATTTCTAGTACTTTTTTGTATATTTCTTTGCCAAGCTGTCGTCTACCGTTGGTGATTTTTAATCAGCTTAATTTGTATGTATTTTTATAAGCAGAAACAAAATACTAAATTTATTGTTGATTTGAAGAAAAAAATTACAACAATTTAAGTAATTATTTGTTAGTACCTACCTATTAGCGACTATCTAACTTGTCATTTAGTGTTTCAAAACCTTTTTTATTCGAGTTATATTTTAGATTTTAAAAAACCTCACCGAATTTCATTAATTTTTAAATTATAACTAAAGATGTTCTTTATTGTTTTGGCTATTCTGGGACTGTGTGTCTATATATAAATAGAAATAAATATCTATGCTGTATAAAATCTAAATAATTTCATTATTATACATACTTAAATCAGCTTATAATATTTAGTAACTAGAGTAATGTGCTACACATTTTTTCATGCAAAAAAGTTTTAATTTAAATTCCTAGTAAAAAATTAATTCTACAAATACAATTACTATATCCATACATAGAACCTAAATATATGTATTACATTTAATACTCAAAAATTAATTAATTATTTTTTTCACGCAGTTTTAAATTTTATTACGATGTAGGTATAAGTAATAATAATACAAAAATATAAATGACCAAATAATCACCTAGGTACTTCAAAATTAAAATTGTGCGCAAGGCATTGTACCATAAAAATTATAAATATTTTTAAGACATAATATTAAATACCTATATAGAATGATTTTTCCGAATTTAGGTGGATTTTCACCCTTATAAATATGTGATGAATCTCTTTTAATAAATTTCTTGGGTTGAAATTATTTGTTTATTCTTTTTTAAACAATTTAAGATTTTTCGTCTTCGTGTAAGGTCTTCGTACGTTTAAGAATATCTAAAAGTTTCAATTGGTATACGGGTATATAGAAACACTTACATATTATTATAAATATTATTTACATATAATATAATAACTATTAAATTATTATAATTATATCTATTATTAGATTTATAGGTATTAATTTTAAATTATCAATTAAAAATATAATAGTTATATAAATTTTTATGTTTTATGATAATAATATGATGACGTATTGACTCGACTTATTGATTATTATGACAATCGATTGTTGTTATCAAATAAAAATCAGAAATTCGTAGTAGGTTTATCATGATGTATTAATTTATAACTTTATAGCCATACAACAAGTAGACAAGAAATATCACCATATATTATATACTTTATTGTGTACACTTACACAATATATACTGTATTATTGTATGTCTGTATAATATATAGCTCTGTACTTATATTTCAAACATTTTTCGTAAAAATAAATATTATATTTAGGTAAAAAGTTTTTACAAGAGAGATACATGTCTCCGCGCATTACCTCTCTTAATTCTAGCACTGCTAAAATAAATTAAAAGTAAACACTTGTTTCTTATTTCATATTCTTAATCAAATAATTTTATTTTTCTGAAAATTTCGAACGAGCTGACTCTCGGCAGGGTACAGTGCCATAAACAATAGTATAAAGGTAGTTATCGCTTATCATACTAAACCTTAAAATTAAAATTAATATTTAATGAGGATAAATATTATTTTTTTAAGTTTTCAGTTGTTACCTATCAATAATTTTTGTTCAATGACACATTTAAATTCAATAATAATAATAATAATAATAGTTGTATACATTCAAGAATAATAATATTATAATACACGTCAAAAGAGAGTAAGTTAATAATGTAACTCATTCCGACAATACTCACTGTTAACAATATATTGCTTACACCTCTACTATTCAAGGATAAAGTAGAACACCGTTTAATACCTTTGGGATGCGGTAAGTAAATCAATATTGTTTCCTTTAAAGTCTATTGTAAGACATATAACTATACTATACTAAACATTTATATAATTATTTAAAATATCTTTCGGAAATATATTTTCAAAAATTAAAATCATTTAATTACAATATAACATAATATAATATGTTTAATGAACGAATAAAATATAATAAATTAATATGGTTATTTTTTCATTATTTTGTGCTTTATTGTAGAAAAAAAATCAATATATTAAATCATTTGGTGTTTAAAATTAATGTAGAGAAAAATATTAACTACTTTGACTCAGAAAAATAAAATAATTTAATTTCAACTTTCAAGTTTTTTTCAGTAGTTAGATTCTAAACATTATATTGTTAAAAATGCATCCTACTATTCCTTTTTATTGCACATTAATTATCAGTAGTGGTTTAGGAAATAAAAAATTTCTATTTTTTTTTTATCTGTGAAAATGAAAAATACGTAACACAGCCAATCGATTTATTTTAACCTATTCATTATTTTACTCGAATTGTATCCAAAATATATATTATAATGTTATCTAGTCCTATATGTATTAAGTTAATATTGTTATTAAGTATTTGTATAATTTTTTTTTTTTTTTTTTTAATGATGATGCGTAAATGTTAATAATTGATACCCACGACTTATTAGTAAATAATTCTATGATATTACTTGTGTACAAATAATATATAATAAACATGTGATAAGATCGTTTAATTGTATATATTTTGTTTTTATAATGAACAATAGTATAACAATATGTTAATACACCTATTAGGTATACCAAAGTATCTAGGTACTAATATATTATAATTTATAAATATTCATTTATATTAGCTTAATATATAAAATTGTTAAGATTGTGATTATCAAACAATTAATACTGAATAATTAATATATACCTATTGAAATATTTATGCCATATAATACACGAATAACGCATTAAAATTATTTATTAAACGGATAAAAAAACATAAGAAATATTATTAAATACATTTTTAATATTAAATTACATTTTCATAAATTATATAAGTAGGTATATGCAGCAATACCGAGTAATATTAAATACTCCTATAGCCATTCATAGCTTGATTTTCGAATTTTCGCTGCCATGTGCATGTACAATATACTTATGTACATATTATAATATGTATAATGTATTGATGTGGCAATATTAGAAGTTAGTTTTAAAAGCTATATACAGCAGCTAACAGGCAATAGCTGGTAATCACGAAACGTATTTCTATTGGTACGTTATACTTATACACAGCGAATTTATAATTTGGTCTGCAGTATGCGTACAAATAATAAAAAAAAATGTATAAGCCATAAACATCCTAATTATATTCATAAGCTTTTTCGCGTACTTAAATAAAACACGAATAAAATATAGCTCGTATTAAAAAAAAATCGAATGGACTAACTTGAATATGATATTTATGCGTAGCTATATAATACAAGGGGGAGGGAAACTTTTATATTTGTTAGCCCCTCTCCCTACACAAGTCCCAAAGTTATATAAAATTAAAATATTATTGTCGTTTCGAAAAACATCAGATGTTGATTGCATTCTTTTCTCAGTTGATTTTCGTTTTAAGTATATAGATGATAATATTTTCTGCACGAGTCGCGTGGAAGCGATTATTTCTAAGCTATCTGGTACGATAGTTGCTTATGGTTAAATACTGACCCGCTGTTATTATATCTCTTATAAAATATGTTTATTTTACGGGTAATACGTTACCTACTCGTATATCTATTTTTAGCTTCAACAAACCACGATATAATGTATGTTGTAAACGTATAGTTTATCTTAAGTTATATGAACACATATTTTAATTTATAAATAATGTTTATAATGGACAGCACCTGTAGTATAAGTACAATAATAATAGTAATAATATTATATTATATATTTAAATATAAAATGCTGAAATGTTATGATGTTCATGATAATCGTAGATTGAAAACGATATTTAAATTATATAATATTAAAATAAGATGTTTTTGAACAAATAGTAAATCCTATACATTATAAACTATTATAAAAACGATTTGCTACGACCATTAGGTACGTGTATCTAATATGTTTTCGTACAATATAACAATATAAGATACATATGACGATATCGACTTGTAATTTGTGTATCACATACATCTATACTATTGTTGTCAATAAGTTAAATAACTTCGTTTTTATTACTGAGAACATAATTATAATGTGTACCAAAACTGTTTTAGATAATAATATTATATTTTAAAATTGTTGTAATATTTGTCAAAACAATACGCTAGTAGTTTTAACGAATCTGTCATCATATAATAATAATTGTTGCTTATTATTCTTTTATTGTTTTGGAATTATTATGATGTGAACAAGATACGAATTTAATTCATAAAATTATAATATTTATTGATTTAACTACAATTTTATTGTTCAAAATATTTAAAACATAACAATATTATAAAATATACATAACATTATATAATGATGCGTTATTATTTATGAATGAGTGGATATATGATGTAAAGGCGCAAAACTATACAGTATTTTACTGCGTAATGCCATAGATTGTTTTGATGAACCTATCTAATCATTTTAAATAATAAAACTAAATAAGAGTCAGAATGAGTTGTATGCTGTGTATTGTTGAGTAGTAACTTTTTTGTATACAATTTAAAATTATACTCGGCACAGTACATAACTAGAAAAAATCATTCAATCGATTGCAACGGGTATTATATTAAGACAAACCATTTTCGCACAATTAATTAGATTTAAATACAATAAGTATATTAATATATTATCATTTGACTTAAGTTTTTATAATTTCAATTTATTATTGTGTTAGTCAATAAAAATATGAAATATATTTTACGCCTATTTATGTATAAGTGCTGCGGTCGTTTTTAAAGTTTTCGTCCTTGAAATTTGACAATAATTTATTTGGCAATCTATTTAAACGCTGCGATGCCGCGCGTTGTTTTGTGCCTGGCGGCATTTTGGAATCAAGAAAAAACATCGAGGGTGGTTTTTGACGTCAAACTTAATTTGGTTGGTAGGTACTTAAATACAACAAGACTTGGTTATTCTCAGTACTTCATAATAATTGGTAAAAACTAAGGGAAAATTGCAGCGGACATCTATTAACACATTAGCGGGTTTC